GAGAGAGAGAGAGAGAGAGAGAGAGAGAGAGAGAGAGAGAGAGTACAGCAGTTAGATGCAATCTAAATTCATACTAACTTTCCAAAATCCCCTGCCAGTGCTGTTATTCCTAATATGTTTCAGGCATAGGGAGCTGGGGGAAAAGTGTTTATTCAGGCTTTCAGAAGGAGAAGACAGCAAAAAACCCGACCAATAGACTGATGCTTATTAATAGCCCAATGAGCTGGTTGGCAAGGGGAAGATGTGAAACTATGATGCTGAGCTGCAAACTCTGAATAGTGTTCTCAGTGCACACAGCATCCGTAGTAACCATTTTAAAATGTATTTTATATGGGTCAGGACAGAAAAACAAACTTAGACTGGATAGACATAACACACATAACACTTTTCCAGATAAGAATGCCACCATGTTGTACATGAAAGAACTGTTAACCAGTAATTCTGGCATATCTGTATGGCTATCTGTATCTGGAGATTAACTAGCTTTCTCTTAAAGCCTTGATAAAAGACATACGGTGCTCCATTGGAATGTTGACAATAAAATGGGCATATGTTGACTGGTCTCCGCTGTAAGACCCATGAATGCCTCTACACCTACTTTGGATTTGTATTGATATTTTTGTGGAGGAGCACCTGGGAATTTACCTTACAAATAGAGTGCGGTGGCTGCCCTAGAACTAGATATATACGTATACATGTGCCAGTTCCTGATGATGAAACCTTTAGGAGGTGTGTGCTAAAAAATGTGGGGTGACAACAATAATTGTAATTAATTAAAAAAGTTGTGCTGTTGCATGGGACTGATGTGCAGAATAGTGATGCGCAGCAATAAAATTCCCATATTGAGACACGCATAGCCTTGAGAAATTGACTAGGCCAGTGTGGATTTCTGTAGTGTCATTACACAGTCAGAAGGTCAAGGCTTATGGATGACAAGAAAAAAGTCAAAAGGTCAGCAAACAAATACCTGGAACCAGAATACAAGAAATAAGACCAGGACCACACCAATGACATCATAACATCATATAAGGTCTTCTTCACTATTAGTGGTTTATGTTGATGAGTTTAATTTTCTTGTGTTTGACGTGCATTCGGAATGCAGGTCAACAAAAACCAATTGGCTTTAGTCAAGCAGTACATATGGCAGTTTTAACCTGCTTTGCATTGCACTGTGTTTCCGTAGACGTACGGTAGCATGTCCTGTTAAGGTGTGTTTAAACTTCATGCAAAGCGGGTTCAAAGGCGCATTTTCGTGCTAAACACTGCATTTCTTAGCTGCATACGTTTGAAATACGTTTGAAAGGTAAACACAGCACTTAACTATAAAGCCTTTCGATATGAACATGGAAATGTCCAACAACAACCTTTCTATCATGCACTGACACAGTGTCCTATGTAGTTTACATTTGGTTCCTAGTGATTTCCTGGTGTCAGTATGCAGTTCCCTATCTGGTCAGTAGATGGCGAGAGCACACACAGTGGAAGATGCAGGGTGAACTGCAGCTGGATGAATAACACTTTCCTAAGGCTTAGGAAACAGCCTCTGGTTCCTTACATTCTGATTTTAGATGATAAATTGGACCATATTAATCAAGATATCATATTAAAATCTGCACTGAAGTCTATGCCGCTGCTGTATAAAAATACAACTTGAGACAGCCCTTCCCTGAGTCATATTGATAAATAAAGTTAAGAGTTACCATCAGATGTTGGTGGCGATGCAAGCCTGGTCAAGTAATTTTGTTAAATTTTATACAATTTTCTGGGGACACACAGAGATTTCTTTTGGTGGTATTTAATCACCACTGGGGGGGGGGCTTAATTTTTTTAATAAAACAAGTA